AAAATAACCCACTCTCCCATCACCCTCAAGATGATTCCCCCTCATAGCGACTTTCTCCAAAGGGTTTCCAGGGCTGTGAATCACACCAGGAGGAGAAAGCAAATCTTCCTCCCACTGGTGGATTCAAACCTCTAGAGACCGGCAGCCTGTGGGTTGGCAGTGCAATCCACTATGAATTATACCACCAGAGCCCCCAAACAGGCTCTGGTGGCCTAGTGGTAAGAATCTGTGCTGCAATCCCAAAGGTATGCAGTTCAAATCTACCAGCTGCTCCACAGAAGAAGGACGGACAGTCTACTTCCATGCCATTTACTGCTTCTGAAAACCCACTGGAGGGTGAGCTTTGGGTTGGTTCTGACATGATGGCAAACAACAACACAGTAAAAGCAGGACTGATGTGATAAATGCATGTCCTATAAGCAGTAGTAACAAATGTTTAGTATAGGTGCTGCAGAAGGAGCTTGATGGCACTCTTGCTTACTGCCTCTTCAACAGCTTGCTGCAAAAAATGTTGAATCCTAGTTCGAATTTTTTGTCTTTTTCTTAAAAGCAACAATTCTTTTAACAAGTAGGTCTTTCATAAAAGCAAAGTGTTTCAAGGCAACCATTCAGAAAGTCTGCATCTGCATCCCTCACTCAGTCATTGCCATCAATTGGATCTGACTCATAGCTGAGTGTTTGGAAGCTGTAAAAATCCCATGGAGGAGCCTGCTCGTCCTTCTTCCACAGAGCCACCAGAGGCCGCTTTTGGGTAACAGCACACCTCACAGACTGGCCGCTGAGAAGCTGAGATGTGAGGTATGGAGACGCTGGTCAGATGCTGGTTAGGAGGCCACTTCAGTGGTCCAGGCAAGAGATGAGGTTGTGCTGGGAGAGATCGGAGGTCCTCTCTGGAGAATAGATAAGACTTAGTAATGGAGTAGATGCAGAGGGTGAGAGAAAAAAAAGAATCCAAGAATACCCTAGAGTTTGGCTTCAGCAATTGAGCTGAGGATGGGCTCATTATGAAGATGATGAAGAAGATAAGACTGGATATGAGGCATTAAAATTTCTTTTTGATGTATGTTAAATTTGAGATTCCTACTGATCGTCTCAGGAGCCCTAGTGGCACTGTAGTCAGTGGCTAACTAGAAGGTCTACAGTTTGAAACCCTGCTTCTATGAAGATGGCAAAACTCCTATAGGGCAGTTCTGCTCTGACCTACATTAACTGGACGCCATGGTGTTGGTCCACTGGACTGGTCATCACAGAGAGGCTAGAGTTAAGAATCAATCACTCAAACATTGGAGTCTGGATTTTGAGGATGGAATTGGGGGATCATTGGCATGCAGAAGATACTTGAGGCAGTGTTCTAAGAGAGTTAAGGGGAAGGCTTTTCTGAGAAAGTCCTGCTTCTTACTCTTAATGACACTTTCACTCTCTCCGGCCATGTCCATTCCATGCCCCACATTAGTGTCCCAGGTTACAGACACTGCTCATAAGGAACCTAGCTGTCAATTTACACATGCTCCTGCTCTCCGTCAATTTCCAACCTAGCCTGAGAAACAAGTGTGTGGACAGCTGGTCATAATGCAGGACAAATAAAAAAAAAATCAAAAGTGGCTGCTAAGCTGAGGCTATAAAAAGGTGGCACAAGGATCTGAGAGGACCTGCAAGTGAAGGTTGCCTCTCATTAGGGAGGTGAACTGGAAGAGGATCAGCTCTTATCTAGAATCTTCAAGGAAACTTCTTTAAGGGGACTGGGGTGGAAATAGTCCATACTAGGGGCTACTGCCTGACTTGAATTATCTCCCCTGGGGGGGGGGGTGAGATGTGGAGACACTCTTGCAAGTCAGGAAGCTTCCTACCCATCCTCCTAGCCAATAGTCCCGCGGGCACAGAACCTCTCCCTGGTAATTGCTTTCCGTAATGTGTTTGCTCCAAACCAATTTCACGCCTCCATGAGGACTCCGCCCTGCACTAGAGGTGTGGATCTCCCCACCACCAAGCTACTAAAGCAAATAAACGCAAATAAATGGCGGCGCACACAAACACGCATCCCCAGGCAAGCATGCAAGTTCCTAGGTACATGCACATAGGACTTTAAGACTTGCCTGTACAATCCCTGCGCACCACAGTTTTCGCAGTGACAGTCTGCACCCTGATCCTGGGATTCACTTGGTCCTGATCCTCTGAGCCTTCCTTCAGTCCCACCAGAGGGCACTGCAGCATGCCGCACTGCGTTCCTGGTAATTGACGTTACACGCTCCCACCACCAGGGGGCGGCCATGGACAGGGACGGCAGGGGCCTCCGCGGGGTCAGTCAAAGGGATGGATTTATGAAGCGGTTCAATGGCTTTGATGTGGCCATACACCCTTCTTCCTCGCCATTCTAGATGTTGACTTCCAGTCTATGATGGGGGGAACCAGACGAAGGAATCTGGGCCATAGGCACAAAGTGACAGTGAAGTTTGGAAATACGATGCTTCTGTGCCATAGGTCAGCGAGAGGGAGCCAGTGAGGGGGGAGCAACCCCAAGTGTGCTCTGTACAAAGGGGAGTAACCCCAACTGTGCTCTACACAAAGAGGTAAGACTCCAGCCCGCCCTGAGCCTCCTGGGGCTTCAGGCTGACCCAGAGCTCTGCCTCGTAAAAGCAAGCTGGGAAGGTACCTTGCTCTAGTGGCATCGTGGTTAAAGCGGTCAGCTGCAAACCTAGAGGTCAGCAGTTCAAAAATATGACAGCTTTGGAAGCCCCGTGAGAGGCCGCTTGACTCAGTCTTACAGGGCCGAATGGACTCCATCGCAGGGTAAAGAAGCTAGCCTCCTCTAGATTGGATAGCGACAGGTTCTGTCCTTGGTACTGATGGGACAGCAGGAGGGTGCTGATTGGGAGGTATGTGAACTTCATTTGTCCAGTGGGGCTCATTATCCTCACACCAGTTCTTTGACTAGGCAGAGGAGATACTAATAACTACCAGTTCCATGCTCCCTGAAAGGATCTGGGAAAGGAAATGGGCTACTGTTGTCACCCTATGAAGGGCTGTGCTGGAGTACACTCCATGGCCCTGGCTTGCAAAAGCATGCACAGAAACAGACCAAGGATGTGAACACAGTATCTGACAAACGTGTCCACATTTGGTCAACACAAAGTTGGGGAAGTGTCCTTATTGGTGGCCACTGGGACCTGTTGGCACAAAACTTGTGACCTCTGAGCCAGCCTGAGCATAGGGTCTCAGGAAGCTCTTGCTTAAGCTGGATGACATATATCTTCCAGTCTGTAAACTGTAAGGGTCTTTAACCTCAAGTCCTTGACAAGAGCATTCTGTTCTGTCCTACCAGTTACATTCTTCTTAAAGTCTTTTTACCAGAAGCAGGGAGCTGCATGCTTTTGAGATTTTGCATTTTATTATTGTATTGCCTACAAATATGCATTCTAGTCATAATCTGAAATGCATTTTTGCAGGCAATAAAATTAACTGTGGATGTGTTGCTAAAAGGGGCTATTCCCTGGAGAAGGACCTGATGCTGGAAAGGGTGGATCTGCGAAGAAGAGGAAGACCCTCAACCAGGTGGATTGGTGTGGTGTCTTACGCAATGGGCTCTTGTGTGTCAGGAAGTGTGAGGATGGTGCAGGATAGAACAGGGTTCAGATCTTTTGTTCATTGGGTCATACTCGACTCAATGTCACCTAACAACAGTAACAACAAAAATGCAATTACATTTAAAAAAAAAATAGCTCTTCCTCCATGCCTTATTTGATTGATGTTCACACAGCTTTAGTTTCAGCGACTGCGGCACAAAGTGCCCTCAATACTGTATTTAGTCAATAAGCCTCTGTTATTTATCCAACACTTTGTCTCTCAATTTTTAAAGAATGCTGTCTTCCAGACTAGCAGGTTGAGGTACTTGGTAATTTAATATTGTTCTAAAGAGTATCTTTAAGCAGGATGTAGCCTAGTGTGCTTCAATAGTGATGTGGCATTCCCAGACTTCAGTGAAAACCTGCCTCCCCCCCCCTTTTTTTTTCATGGCAATGTCTTCCCACCAGACTCATAAGTTTCACTGATTTTGCTGTGGAGCCAAGGATAGCTCAGAGCTGCAGGAAATGTAACCTCCACCATGAAGTTCCTTAGCTCTGCTCTGGTGACAGTCTCCCAGGATGCAGCCACTCACCTCAGTGGTGTCCACTCCTAATGTGAACGAGTGTCACTGAGGTGTTCCCCCTGACCTCTTCTGTCTGGGACTTGGGAGGACTTTTTGATCATAGCTTCTTCTGAACTACACACTCCTCCCATCACAAGCTCACCTGGCTTGGGAAGCCTTCTTTGTAATGAGGCTGGATCTCCCAGGTGAACCTGAGCTGGGATCTGATGACTGGCTTTCTGATCAGGCCTGCACTGGCTCCTGTCTTGAAGCTCCGTCCTACCTGTCTTAAGTATCTCTCTTGCCAGTGGCTCCGATCAAACCATTGCCCTGACTTTTTGCCCCCTGATTGTCACCTCTGCTGCTGGGAGGGAGAGGGTAAAAAAGGCGCCATCACTTTTGTGTCTGGGACTAGAGGAGGTGAACAGAGTCATTCGCAATTAGCGCATAATTAGCGACGCTGACCCTTGTAGCTCATCAGCGCTCCAGGGCCAGTCCCCAGCAATCAGCCAGGGCAGGGCAAGAGTGTCAGACCAGGGAGTGAATAGGGCTCATCAGCAGCGCGGAGCCCAGCGCCAATCAGGGAAGTTAATGGCAGGAGAGAGAGCTCGCGCGCTGGAGAGCGAGGGAGACAGGGAGAGACAGACAGACAAGAGGCAGGAATAAAGAGCCAGACAGACGGGGCGAGGGAGTGAGAAAGGGGAAAGAACGCGCCAGAGGGAGACCAAGGGGGGGTAAGAAAGAGGGCCGGAAAGGCAAAGAGAGGATGTGGAGGAAGGGGACAGCTGCAGGGAAAGGTGAGGGGTTTGAGGAGGACACGACCTAGAGTGGACACAATTGCCCCCGGAGGCGACCTGGGTGTAAGGGCCACGGGCAGGGAGGAGGACGAAGGAAGGAGGGGCCCGGGCACCAGGAGAACCTCTACCCAGGGAGACGGAAGGAAGGGGAGAAACAGCACCGCCCCCCGATGTCGCCCCGAGCCGCGCCCCCTGCAGGCTCCTCGCTCCCCTTACTCGGCCGCAGGTCCCGCAGGGGGCGCCAGGGCGCTGGGTTCCTCGCCGCGCGCGCGAGTGGCGGGCAGGTCGCGGCGTCCGCTCTGCGGGACGCGGCCGCAGAGTCCTAGGT